ACCTGCAACCTCCCCTGCACCTTTCTGAGATGAATCAACTCAAAGACACAATCTTACTCAGCTTGACAATCTCCTTAGACTTAAAGCTTACACCCTGAGACGCTACGAGACAAGGAACAGCGGAGGAAAAGTGCTATTTCGCGACTGGGTAATAGGCGGTTACCCCTTGGATGTATTGAATTTTGAATCACGCTTTCTGCAATCGCACGCTGTTGTCACTAGGGGGTGGGGGTGGGGGAATAGGGGAGAGGGGAAGAGTTTGTGGGGGGAGGGGAGAGGGGAAGGGTTGTGGGGGGGGAGGGGAGAGGGGAAGGGTTGTGGGGGGGGAGGGGAGAGGGGAAGGGTTGTGGGGGGAGAGGGGAGAGGGGAAGAGTTTGTGGGGGGGGAGGGGAGAGGGGAAGGGTTGTGGGGGGGGAGGGGAGAGGGGAAGGGTTGTGGGGGGAGGGGAAGGGAGTTATTTGGAAGGCTGTCGTGCATTTTTTTCTTTTTTTTTTTTCTTTTTTTTTGAAAATCACCAAAGCGAGGATTGGTAATTGCTCTAGAAGGACCTTAATTTACAAGTCTATCGTTTCTTCGAGATGGTCTTGTCCTCTCTTTTGCGAAATAATCAACGGAGGGGTTTTCCTTATAAGGGCGAGGATCAGGCGACACTTTCAGGTAATGATATCTCTGTTGCAATAGGATTGTAATTATCAATGTCATGTTGTTATCTAATTAACAATAAATCATTATACGTGTGACTGATAACTATGGGGGTGAGTGGGTGGGGAGGTGGGGGTGGGGGGGAGTATTGGGGAAGAAGGGAGGGGGGGTATGGAGAAGGAGGGGGTATGGGGAAAGTAGGAGATAGGAGAAGGGAGAGGGATAGAGAGAGAGAGGGAGGAGGATATGAGAGCCGAGAGAAAAAGAAGGTGGGGGAAAGAGGGGAGAAGGGGGGGTGAGGTGAATGAAGAGTTAGTAAAGGAAGGAGGGAGAGAGGGAGGGGGGGGGGGAAGACGCGAGGCAGAAGGAAGAATAGAGGGAGAAAAGCAGGTGACTAAAGGTTGTAGAAAGAGTGGGAGAGGAAGACAGGAGAGGGGGGGGGGAGAGGGAGAAGGAGGCAGGAGATGGGGGGGGAGAGGGAGAAGGAGGCAGGAGAGGGGGGGAGAGGGAGAGGGAGAGGAAAAGAGGGAGGGGGGGGAGAGAATAATCAGCTGTGGAACGGCCAATGAAGAGATCGTGATGCAAAGAACATAATTATCTTCCCTTTTTTTTGCCTTCTCTCTTCCCCTCCTTATCCTCTCTCTCTCTCTCCTCTTTAATTTTTTTTTGTCCACCATAAGAAGATAAGCTGCAATAATCAGGATATATCTTTAATCCCTGGAATGTTGCAATATGCAATGGGAGTTCTGTGGACCGTGGTGTTCATTAGACGTAACTAAATCTGTCATTGCTCTTGCATTTTCTTATATATATTTTTTTTTCAGTGATTTTATTTTCTTTTATGGGATATTAATTTCATTTTTTTTCTTACTTTCATCTCTCTCCCTGTCTCTGTGTGTCTGTTTGTCTGTCTGTCTGTCTCTCTCTCTTTCTGTCTGTATGTTTCTCTCTACCTGTCTCTGTCTGTCTGTTTGTTTGTCTGTCTGTCTGTCTGTCTGTCTGTCTGTCTGTCTGTCTGTCTGTCTGTCTGTCTGTCTGTCTGTCTGTCTGTCTGTCTGTCTGTCTCTCTCTCTCTGTGCCTCTCTTGCTGTCTGTCTGTCTGTTTCTCTCTCCCTGTCTCTGCCTGTTTGTTTGTTTGTTAGTCTGGCTGTCTGTCTATCAGTCTCTGTCTCTCTCTCTGTCTGTCTGTTTATCTGCCCCCCCCCCTTCTCTCTCTCTCTTTCCCTCTCTGTCTATCTGTTTGTTTCTCCCCCCCCCCCTCTCTCCCTCTCTCTCTCTCTCTCTCTCTCTCTCTCTCTCTTTCCTCTCTCTCTCTCTCTCTCTCTCTCTCTCTCTCTCTCTCTCTCTCTCTCTCTCTCTGCATCTCTCTGTCTGTCTGTCTGTTTATCCCCCCTCTCTCTCTCTCACCATACTTCTCTTTCTCTCTTCTAACCTCCCGCCTCTCTCCATCTCTCTCTTCCTCCCCTTCTCTCTCTTTCCTTCTCCCCTTCCTTCGCACCAACGGAAAGAAATTCAAAGACTGGAGCTGCTTTGAGGACTCCCCCCCCCATCACCCACGCCCTCCTCCTCCGCCCAGTGTCCGTCCGAAGGAACTGAGGGAACCCGAAGGAATCCGAGAGAACCCCAGAAAACCCAAAGGAACCCGAAGAAACCCGAAGGAACCCGAAGAAATCCGAGGGAACCCGAAGGAACCCGAAGAAATCCGAGGGAACCCCAGAAAACCCGAAGGAACCCGAAGAAACCCGATGGAACCCGAGGGAACCCGAAAGAACCCAAAGGAACCCGAGGGAACCCGAAGGAATCCGAAGAAACCTCAGGGAACCCGAAGGAACCCGAAGGAACCCGAGGGAACCCGAGG